TTTTACACATAAATGGCTAACCTCACAAATACAATGTACTTACATTGCTTTCCTTAATGTCCACACTTCACATGTTTCCTGTGCACTTTTTAAAAGAAATATTTAGCAGAAATGGCCCATATGGGTAATTTTTTTTTAAACTTTGTACCTTAAAAAATCTTTTTAATCACCCATACCTTGGGCTCCAGATACTTGTATAATGACATCCTGTCCTCTGTCCCTTTGTGATGAGACCTATCTGATTTCTGTCACTGGATTCATGTGGGGCTGGATGAAAGAATATGAATTTTTCTGGAGGTTTAGTTGGTTGTTTTTTTTTTTTTTTCCATCATGCCTCATGTTCTACCTGTCTGAACCACTTCAGATGCAGAAGTCTCTATTTTAGGAAAAGCTCAATAAGTCACTTCTGGCAATGACTTCTTCAATAAGTCATAACTGGCAATGTTGGAGGGTTATTCTGGAACATTTTACCAGTACCTGTTAATTTCTGTTCTTGGTATCACGTCCTCTACAGGCTTTGAGATTAAGTGGGTGCTATGATATTTCCCTTACACTAGACATAGCCATACAGAAACAAGATATGGTTGGTTTGTTCTTCATGGTGATATGAAGTGGTGTAAGTCACCTGTGTCAGTGGCTTCTTATTAACTGACTGATTTTATAACCAGGTTTAGAAGTCTCTGTATAAATGAACACATCAATAAGAGGTATTTCTGCTAATTAGCAACATTTTTTTAGTAGCTTCATAATAGAAGAATTTACTCACCTCTCTTCATGACATAAATTAAAGTGATATGATAAAGAGTCACATAAAACACTTAAAAATGAAAAATGTAAAAACTTGTTGGAATTGTGCATATTCAGTCCAGAGAAATATAGTCAGATTGTAAGTTTACTTCTCCTTCCAGATGTGAAAGCATATTACTGCTCAATAGAAAACGATTACTCTTACTGGTCTGAAAAACAAAAGTGAATAAAAGTCAGTTAAATATTAGGCAATGTTATAATTTAAGTAAATGTTTATATTCTAATTCATAGAAGGTATTAAAATACATGAAGTATAAGCATGATTATCCAACTGCAGCAGGCAGCTTCAGTTCTTATCAATAAACTCCCCAAGAATCACTTTCAAGAGGTGTATTTAAATCGGGACTTAGAAACCTCTGCTGGATATTGAGGCATGTACAGGAGCAATAGGTCAGAATTAAATCTAGATTATACTTCTGTATATAGTGAATAATAGTAGTTAATATTGTCATTCTTCTATTCCCAGCCATGTATATTGCTGTCCAATGATACAGGATAATCATGTCACCATTTGGGGCTCTAACACTAGGGGCCTTGCTAGGACTTCTGGGACCTACTGTAGCCCAAATAACATTAGCATAACTGAACTTTGGACTCTAGAAAGTAACTTTCTTTTTTAATTTGTCCCAGGGAAATCAGCTTTAACTGTAATGCCTCTAGAGAGGATAGTGGGGTTAGTCAGAGAATCACAGAAAGGTTTGGATTGGAAGGGAACTTAGAGATCATTAGGTGACCCAAGGAGTCTAGCCCTGGCTGCACAGTGCTTGAACTTCGACAAGGAGAGGTCCCTTGGCCACTGAGGGGCCTCTTGGGGCATGAAATAGAGGAGTTTGCACCACTCAGGGTGAGGGTGGGCTTGAAACCAAAACTCCCATTCCCTGTGTCTGTGCTTCAGCTGCCAAGGGCTGTGCTGAGAGACACATGCCCTCTTTCATCCCAGCAAAGCCTGCTGTGAGCAGGGGTTCCCTGTGCCTGTCGAGGCTGGTGCTATGCCTGCAGCACTGACACAGAGTTGAAAGCTCTGGGAGATGAGATTTAGTTTTTACGGAGGGCTAGCTCTGTGTACAGATCTTGGGATCCCCTAATCGTCAGTCTAAACTTTCTTGCACCTTACGTTGGGCACTTGGCTCTGGGTTTTTAATTCTACACCGTGTTTAGGCTTTTCAGTGCTTTCCTTCCTAGTGCCTGAGTGCTGACATAAGTGTTTTAAGACGAAATACTTCAGGTCTCTATTAAGCACGTATTTTATGAAGCATATTTTTGTTTGTTTGTCAACATGAAGCATACTTGAACCAAGGTGAGCTGTATTCATTTCTTTGACCTAAAATAATGCCAGCAACAAAACCAAGGAAATGCTTTTCAGTTATTTTTCCATGTAACTCAGGAAGAATTGGTACTGAACAGTCAGTATCTCAAGTTAAATACAGATTGATTCTTGGAGCCTAATTGGTGAGATTTATTGACAATACAGCATTTGGCTAGTTATAATAACTGCCTACTCATTGCACAGTTGATAGTTCAACAAGTAGCCAATTCTAATTTTCAGTGTTTGTTATACCATTAAGGATGACTTTATTAGCCTACTCAGGGATGTTTAAAAACAATTAACCTTAATTTTTTAAAGTAGAATGTGAGACTTCAGCTATTAAACTTCAATTCTACTTTAACTGCTTCAGGGCATTAGACACGTGGCTTCTGAATTCTGGCACCTTATTAACGCAAGATAGCAGGATAGTCAAGAAAAAAACCTCAAGGTTTGCTTTTTACTTCTCTTCATTTGTGGCTTTCTCATATATGTAACCTAATCTATGAATGAGATTCCCTTTTTTAATTAGTTCCAGGGTCAGGCTGTAAATTCTTGTTGTGGGGAAGCGTGACATAGGCCAGTGTTTAATTTAAAAATTGCAAACATTCAGATGGTCTGCACCTTCAGAAAAAGGTTTCATTTTAGAACATTGCCATAAAAAAAATTTATAGGTGGCTTTTCAGACAGAGCCTGCTCTCCAGGGCTCCAAAATTAGATATGTTTTTCTGCAAAGGAGAGTTTAGGAAAGGTTTCAAAGCAGATCAAAGTTAAAGAGTTTCCTGATGGTTCAGCTTTGTAGCGCTGAGCCTGCTGGCTGTTCTGCAAGGATCCATTGTACCTGGCTGCACTCTGAGAGCACATCTGCAGCTTTGCATGCATTACGCTGACCACGTTTTCAGTAGGGCTTTACAAATTGCCTAATCCAGGTTAGGCCTTTTCTGGAAGCTCTTTAATCCTGCTAACATTTACATAATGATCTCAATACTGTAATTCTTCTGTGACAGTGTGCTGAGGCTCTTCCTGACTTACATTAATGATTGGACAAGAATAAGGGAATACCAAATTGACTTCATTGTCTTCCAGAACGGAGCATATCATACATCTCACTGTTTAAAAAAGTGTGGAGCCAAATTCACTCCTGATGTAATCACGGTGATATCTCTAGAGCTAGGTGACATTGCATTGACTTTGTCCTGATCAAGTAAATACTAACTCATATTTAGAAATTTAAATGAGGAGGTAGCTTCTACTAAAACCTGCAATTAAAAAATAGGAAACTTTTACAGTGGTGTTCTACCAGAATAATACTTTTTTCCCCTAAGACTTTGATTAAAACATGATAATCTCCCATGAAAATTCTGAACTCATCAGCTGAAATTAAAAATAGATGAGGATTGCATGAATACTTTATGTGAACAGTAAGAAAGTAAGTCTTTATTTCTGAGGCATCGTGTTAAAATTTGCAGGACTACACAGCAGGTAATACCAGGCTGAGTTCCCATTTCTGTCCTGCAGATGTTACAATAAGGCAGCACAGACACGAGCTGAAAGGCGATCCTGAGCAGCTATGCAAAACCAGTTCTGAGATGATAAAAATGAAGGATGGCCTGGCAGGCATGCTCACTGAAAAAAAGACTACTGGAGTAATTCAGGAAAAAATTAATTTCCTTTTCCATGGGTGAAGAGATTAAGAAACTGAATCATAGGTTAATATTCATATATGTAACACAGCCAACGTTTGGGGTTTTTTTAAAAAAAGGAAAATATCATTTTTTAACATCACTCAATGCAACTAATATTATCTGATGTCTTGCTTATTTTCTGCTTGATGTTTTATGCCTGGGAGCTGGAATAAGACTCTTATTTTCAGCAGAAAATACAAAAATACAATATTTCTCTCTACAAAATCTCTGTGGGCTTGCTCATATCATGGCTTCGCTGCCATGACCTGGCATCTAGTCATAAGTGTATCCTGTGAAGTATGTGTCTTGATAGGCAGGTCGTGTTAATATATGCAATTGCTTGTGCTCACTACCTATGAATGACTAAATGCTTGAAAGAAAAGCCCAGATAATACCTTATTTCTCCAAGGAATCGTAGAAACCTTACCCTTCATTTTTTGAGTGCTATTAGAAGTTTTGTAGTCCTCTTTCTTTATTGTGATAAAAGGAGATGAGTCCAGGTTAACAGAAAGGTTTGTATGATATTTTAAATGTTCTTTCTCCATAAAGCATATTCTGTGACCTTTAAAAATTGATTAATATGTTGTTTTGGTGTATGTGTGATCTAATTGTGTATTCCAAAGTCCTAATTTTGTGGCATATTATGACCTAATTAGAAGAGAGACTGTGAGAAGCAATAAAGAGTATTAAAGTTGTACTGACAGGAGATAGTATCTGACTCTTTAAATTATCTCTGCAGCAGGTTAAGGTTTATCTTTCATGAGCATGCACCTACCACCTTATAGCCTTGTGTAAGCAGCTCACCCTAGTGTGGCTCCACAGAGCTGCTTCATCCTGTGTTAGAGCATCTCTCAAAAGAGAGGCAGAAATGAGAAAGACACTGTCCCTTCCCAGCATACAGCAAAGCTGCAGTGGCTGGGTCTGGGTTTCTAACTGAAGGAAACAGAGAAATTGCAACTACTGATGGATGGTTTTTCCTCTGAGGAGCTCCAGAGGTAGCCCAACGCTGTGCTGTAATTTTGGTCTGGGCAGGCAGTTGGAGTCCTATGAAGCCTTTGAACATTACAGTTGTATTTTGACACCAAAACTTTCAGCCTGGAGACTAGCCTTGTACCTGTGATAAAGGCCTCTCCTGTGCTGACAAAGCCACAGTGCAGCTCTGTGTTGTGCACAGTGAATAATCACCCTATTTTCTCTATTTTCAGGAGATTTGTCCTCACCAAGATGAGAGTCATTCCAAAAGGAGCTTTCGCAGGACTTGGTGACCTAGAAAAAATGTATGTATTCTGTCAATATTTACTAGGAAACAACTATTTTACTTGACGGGGCAGTTTCTGCTTGCAGCTCCTTTTACTGCCTCTCTTGCAAGACACTCTTCTCTGACCTTCATCTATTTTCATCTTTCTGTTTAAAAAAAAAAAAAAAAATTGAAACTTTTTTTTAAGACCATATGCCAAAATGTTGTCATAAATACATTTTATATCAGTACACAGGCAGTGCTTGGTCAAAAGGTTGGTTCAGCATGGAATGTCATTCCAATTAATACATACAGTGTCATAGCAGAAGATCATGGGAAACTGATCATTTTATGAATTTTGTAATAGATTGGAATAAATCTGTGGAAGGTTAGGGAAGAAAGAACTCCTATTCATAATAGAGAAGGATTGAATGAATAAACAGGATTGCTTCATGCATGCTCAGTCAGTCAGCAAGATGCATGAGAGAAGTTTATTATGGATGCTAGATCTGAAAATCTTAGCACATAAAGAGGGTATAAGCGTCTAATTTCTGTGAATTGTAATGATAATCTTGAAGACACAGCTATAAGCATCTTTGATGTATCGTACATCGATTAACATACTGTTGTGGATGTATTGCAACCCTCCACCTCTAGAAGGAAAAACCCTTGTTAGTATGCCTTCTCTTATGCTTTGTGGACAGAAAACCTATGGTTTAATTGACGTTAGCACCAGAAATTATAACTGTCACTGTCCAACCTGAACTATTCTGAGGCATATATGATTTTTCTGAATTATTTCATATGTGTGCAAATCATAACATTTTGTTTAGAAACACACAAATGTCACACAGGGGTCACAAATGGGCTGTTGACCCAAGAAAAGTGGGAGTGGAGTGCCTTTTTCAGTGTCACGTGTGTAACAGCAAAACTAAAAAAGAATAGATAGCTGATGTTTCTCTGCATCATTTCTACCCTCTTCCCTTGTACTCTTGCATCAGTAAGGGATTTAGCAAGAAGATGAACACACCAAAAGGTATGGTGAGGAAAAGGAAAGGATTTTGAACCTAGAAATAAATGGATGAGTGGATGGGTGGGTGGGTTGGTGGAGATGTGGAGAACAAGCAGTGAATAAGCAAGAAGGATTGAGAGCTGCTGGTCATTAGTAAGTGGTCAAGTTCACACAGCACCTGGCATTTTCTGAAGTGTGAGATCCTTTTCAGGACATAACTGTAGGTTCAGGAATTTTCTATTGGCTTGGGGAATACACTAAAAAGTCTCCAATTGCTCCATCCCACTCATAGATCCAGACCTGCATAATACCATCAAGCACCATTGTAAATGATCATTTTTGGGGGGTAAGAAAGAAGAAAGTCTTATTTTTTGTGGCCAAGATTTACCAGTTAGGAGTAAGATCAGCTCTGCCTCAGCAGTTTTGTTGGCACTTGTTTCTCCCCAGTCCTGCAGGGTTCCTTTTAGCCTAGTCCTTATGGAAAATCATTGAGCTCTCTGGACTATGAAGTGCGCTGCAAAGTCCGTTGTAAACTGCTTCCATTATCTTTAATTACTGAGAAACCATATGTCAGATATGCATGAAGGTAGTGATCTCGTTGAATAGGATGCCTGTAAGTGGTGATTTATTGTTGACAAAAAAAAATTATATATGGAAATGAGCCCAATTTGAAAATATATCCATGTACTAGTAGTACATGGAGGAGAAATGGGGACAGACAGTTTGTAGCAAAACATCCTTGAAAATAAAAGTGTGATAAATATGTAAATGAGACTAACCAACATCAACAAATATGTGGTATTTGGAGATGATATGGCAAACAGATAAAATTTGAAATAGCTCACAAATCCTAAACCTAGCCCATAAAATATTAATCAGAAATATTCATTATAATGTAGGGACAAAAAAAAAGTGTGTAATCAAGTGATAGATTTGCATATAAAAACAGAGCCTTTGTATGAAGGCCTTTTTACTCTTGCAAGATCATGTACAGAAAGGAAGATTAAAGCAAACTCTATTCTATTTAAGGAAAACAGCTATTAATAATGTGATAACTCCATATGGTAAAGTGTGGATAGCCTGATGTATACAAATGAGATAATTCATTGAAGTATATGTATGTGCTCACCTAGAACTAAAGAGACTAAAAATTAAGAGAGTGACAATATTTCCAGAGTGTGTTACTGAAGAAAACCAGTATCTCATACAGTCAAACATATCTGTACATGTTGCTTTCATCATTACTAGATCCATTCTGACTGTGTTTTTGAGAATGGGGCAGGTTCCCAGGCCAGAAGTTGCAGGGAATAGTAGTCTTTGGAATCATCCATAGGGAATGAGCTAGTTGAATACAAGTAAAATCAGAGATGAGTCACCAATGACAATCTTAACTCTGTTGTATTTACTTTCAGAATGAATGAAAGCTGTTAAATGCATGACAAAAAATTCCGATTTTTTCCAAGAAAAATCAGTCAACAAAATCTTTCAGTGTTCCTGGTTTCTATATACATTTTAGTTTCGTCCTAAACATCAGAACAGCTGAAAGCTTTGAACAGATGTATTCTGCCTCAAAATCTTCAGTTCTTCCAGATACTTCTAATCAGGCTTTAGTCACAGGACCCAGGAAAGGTCTTGTTCTCTTTCCATTTAGACTGTTCAAGGACTTTCTAGAATGGACACTAGTGGTGTGACCTGGAAATGCTGGCATGGAGCACCTCATCTGCCCACCCTTGTGAAGCTCCAGTTTTAGTTACAAAGTGAAAATCTTTTGCTTTTCACCTGAATTTTTTTATTTTTAATTTGGCAAAACACAAACTGGAGTTTTATTTGGCAAAATTTTCACTGGAATAGTTTTGCCACTTTAATTTTTTTTTAAAGAATGAGAGCCCATTTGAGCGTTCTCTAGCTTGTCATTTTCTCCTCACCCATCTAAGTTCCCTCAGTTACTGAAAAACGTGAAATGTCTATTCTGCAGACTGACATATCGAGAAGCAACTTTTCCCAAGTATTTTCTAGAAGAAAGATTTTATTTCCTTCTTAGATAAAGTGTTTAAATTTATGAAATATACTGGCAGGCTCTAATTATCTGAGCTTTCTTTTACTAAAGATGCAACTCGAATTTTATTATAGAAAACTACTTCAGAAACCTATGTATCTAAGGAACAGCCTAACTATCTTATTTCTAGCAGCTCTCCAGCTTCTACACAGCTCTGGCTTCCTCTTAATTTAGCAAATAAATGTTCAGGGAAGCAGATTAGTTATTCTTGATACAGGCTTAGCGTGCTCTCAAGTCTTAGCCAACTGGAACGTGGCAGCTCATCTGGGCTCCTGCTTAACTAACCTGTTTACACTCCCAGAACTAATTAACACACCAGTTACTAAATTAAAAAACAGCCCCGTGCAGGCACATACCTGGCAAAATCAATTCAACATGCTCTACATCTGCTATGTCATCTCCAGCCTGCACTGAAAGCGCTTAATTCGAAGGAGAGACAGTCTGAAGCAATATTGAAGTCTCCCTTTTCCTCTTCCTAGATTTCCTTCTGTTACTACAAGGTAGCAAAGCAGATTTGTGCATGTTGGCCTAACAAAGCCTGATTCAGGCATTGTATTTATAGGAAGTTTGGTCTGAGTGCCTTACCCTGTGCAAGCCAAATAGGCTTCACATTTGTATCCTGAGGCACAATCCCCTTGAAAATTCATCATCAGTTATTTATTCTTTTGAAAGCTTTAAGCTAAAACATAGTGCTTTGTTTCATTATTCACTTTCAAATCTAACCTGTGTGTGGCCCAAAAAAATTCAGCCATGTGGATAAAGTACTTCTTGATCTAGAAGATGTCACAGCGAAAAAGCATCTTTGTTGGTCCTGCTTTGTAGTAAGGAATAATGGGAGAAGCGGATTTCTTTAACAGGTTTTGGCAAAGAGATATTTTAAGAACATGAACCATGCTAAGGGTCCCAGACCTTGAAGAGCTAAATTCTTGATGAGTTCTGAAGGATCTCAAAGTGCTAAAACTTTTCAAGTTGATGGAATCTGCCAAAGTTGACACTTGCAGAAACTGATGTCTTCTGCTTATGAAGACTGCAGGAATATCTACAAGCTATCTACAGCTTCCTCAAGAATTTATAGAGAAAGTAGCTCTGAATCATGTATTTATTTAATCAGTCAGTGCATTCAAACTCTTACGGTTTGTTTTTTTGTTTGTTTGTTTGTTTTTTTTTGCTGGGACTGTTAATTCAGTGATGGTTCATATGAGCAAGTATTGATAGTCTGTGACCTAGTTACATGGACACCAGCTTAATTCACATGCAACACCTAACCTGATGTATGATTCTAAAATATCTCCTGTTTGCCCCTGTATGTTAAAAGATGGGTCACACTTTTTGTGCCTTAATTACATCAGTTTGAGTTACTTCAATGTTTTATTTAATCTGAGGTGAGATATTTGATAATAATGGAGACCACTCAGTACATGATAAAGTATAGTTCTGAATCATGCTGTATCTCTCTTCCTGTTAGTGGAGAAGGAGCAAAGTCCATGGCTTGATTGTAAAAGACTCATTAGGAGAATTTAGCGTAGTGGTAAACCTTCACTTTGTTTAGCAAGTTTTAACAACTTGACAAATAGGCAGATTCACCATCCAGACCTTCCTCAGTAGTAACCATCAAAGCTGCCTGGGCTAGCAAATGGCTAAGAGATGTCCATCATTCCATGTGCTCCTGAAATCATGTTCCCTCAGTTCCAGCATGTGATTCTGTAACACTTGGTGGCATACGGCCCAAAAGGATGGGAGGGAAGGAGGGTAGGCGGCAATCGCACGATCATCTAGGGATGAGCACTCTCTGTCTTCCACTACCAAGAAAGAGGGTCATTATTCTGCAGCTTCTCCAACTTTTCTTGCACAGTATGTCATGTGTGCTGTTTCCTTTGGTATGCAAAAGGCTGTGATTAAATATGATCAGTAAATGTATAGGATTCAGCATAACTGAAACACTTGGAAAATGGTTCTAGGCAGGACTTCCTTT